CCAGCATTAAATATGAGATCCTGTTGTTCCATATTCTCATCGACATTTTGTGTTGTGTTTTGGATTTTGGCCACTCTATTAGGTGTATAGTAATATCTCATTGTTGTTTGAATATGGAATTTCCTTATTATATAAATTGAACATTACTTCATATACTTGCTTGCCATCTGTAGATCTTCATTGATGAGCTATTTCCTGCGGTCTTTTGCCCATTTTAAAAATCTGGTTATTTGATTTCTTACTGTTGAGTTTTAAGAGTTTTTTTTTTTTTTTTTTTTTACATATTTTGGATAAGTCCTTTATCATGTATTTGTCTTTTGCAAATATTGTCTCCCAGTATGTGACTTGGCTTCTTATTTTATTGATGTGAAGTCTTTTAAGCTATATTTTTCATAATTTCATTTATTTTGACCAGAAATCATAACAAATAATACAGTTCTTTTTAACTTTATTGCTGCTGCTTTTGTAGTTTTTTCTACAGTCAATTTTTATGAATGTTTCATGGGTACTCAAAAATATCTATTGCTTTGAACAGGCATGTAAAGAATGGCATAGGCTCTGAAATTCAGAATAACTGATTATAAAACTCTATTTTTGAGCAATCTTGGGAAAATTACTCAAACATTTTGTGCTTAGTTTTTCCACATGAAAAATTTAGATAACAATAAAACACTTCATCAATTTTTTTGTTATTATTTCAAAAGGTTTTTGGGAAATAGGTGGTGTTGGATTACATGAATAAGTTATTTAGTGGTGATTTCTGAGATTTGAACTGATAATTAAATGAATTAATGTATGTTAGGTATTTAACCAGTGCCTGAGAAAAAGTGTTAGAAGTATTAGATACTTATAATTATTATGTGTTAGTTTGAAGTAACTGTGAAATTCATTACATTTCTATAGCTTTTATGTTTTTCTCTACTTGACTATCAGTTTCTGATGAGGATATACTGAATGCCCTTAATAATTGTAGACTACAGGGAGGGGAGCTCTACACACTGGGGTCAGTTGGGGGGAAATAGAGGAGGGACGGTGGGGGGTGGGGAGCTGGGGAGGGATAGCAGGGGGAGAAATGCCAGATGTAGGTGATGGGGAGGAAGGCAGCAAATCACACTGCCACGTGTGTTCCTATGCAACAATTTTGCATGTTCTTCACATGTATCCCAAAACCTAAAATGCAATAAAATAAATAAATGGGAAAAAAAAATAATTGTAGACTAGTTGTTTTACTTATATTAATATAGCCTAACCCTATATTATTAGATGTGTATCAAGCTGAAATATTAATCAATTTTTATTTTACTAGAATATAACATCACATTGTCAAGACACTTGGTTATTGCTTATTTGTTCTTTTCTGTGAAATAATTATTTGATAAGAAAATTAACATATTGAATTACTTTTTATTTAGGATCCCATTCCATTCCTTTTTTTGTAGGTTTAAGCCTCCTTCTGATTTAACTGTTGCTTATGTTCATAACATTAATCTTACATTTTTCTCCAGTTAGAAAATCTGTTGGTTTAGCCATTTACATTATTGCAGTAACCAATGTATTAGGATACTTTCTGCCATCTAATTCTCTTTTTATTCACATTTCTTGTTTCCCACCGAACATTTTACATTTACATCTGCTAATTTGAAGAGTTGCATAATCCATTCATATTTTTTGAATATTACCCCTAATATATTAGGACAGGTATTTATTTGTATCTTTTCACTTATTCCTTATGCTTATCAGTATCCATAATTTCTCCCTACATAAAAAATTGTATTTTTACATGCTTCTCTGCTCTGTTCTCCTTTTGCTGCACCTATACTTCTGCTTTTGACATGTTATTTTTTCCTATAAATATTTTTACCTTTTATCTTTCCTCATTTGTTTTAGATAACAGCAACAAGAAACTTTACCAACTAAAGTATATATTAGTAAGAGAACTCAATTTGAACATGTCATAAAAGAAACATGAAATGAAAAATTAAAACATGAGAATTTCCCACTCTTATGTAGCCAAGTTGATACAACGCATTACTTACATATATTCAAATAGATAATAACTAGTTCTTAAATAAGAACAATTGACAGCATCACTTATCATACCTAGTTTATCTTAGATTTGCCTGGGTTGATTTATTTGTGTTAATTGGCTTTAGACAAAGGAAAAATAAAACTTATTATCTTTATGATAAAAGATTCTTTTGCATATTAGACAAGGTGTTCACCCAAATTAGGCTCCTGTCATCCCACAGAAACTGGTATACAGGAGTGCTAACTTCTCTGATGTTTACAATTCGAGGAAGGACTCCCGGGGCTTTAAGGAAAGCATATCTGAAATATTAAGTTGACAAAAGGCCTACCTAGTTAAAAAAAAAAAAAAAGATTTCTATACATTTTAAAGAAAGGAGAAAGTACTTAAATTTTTTCTAAAGTGAATACTCTTAGAAAAGAAAGGGACAACTCTCTTCCTATATCAGGAAGAATTAAGCCTTTTATTTTTGATTATTATTCATCCCTACAATACTTAGTGTAGAGCATGCTCATTTCATTCTATATTGTGAAAAAAAAATTAATCAAATTAAATCAAACATCTTGGCATATAATATCATCAACAATAAGAAGAAGCAGCATTTCTTGGTTTCCAATCATCAGGTGTTTTAACTGGTTTAATCACACCGCAATCCTATGAAGTACTGCATTAACACACCCCCCCAACCGGTGGAGATGATGTTGAAGCACTAAACAACCTCTTGTAACTACCGCAGGTCTCATTTGGTAGTTATTTATCATTAAGCCATCCTTGATTATTGCCCTCACAGACCTAATGTGAATCTGTTTCATCATTGTTTAAAGAATGAAATAATTTCTCAGTTTTCTTTTTCATTTGTGGTAAAATGAATATAGAAAACATATCTACTCTTGCTTTTCACTGAATATCAAACGCTCCAAACAGTGTCCTGACTTGTAGTAGGAGTTTAATAAATATATGAGAAATGAATGAGTTGACTTATTCATTTGTAGTCTTAACATATATTCAAATTGCAGATCATCATTGATGGCTTGCTTTTAAAATCAAAATATATTTATGGACTGCATTTTCATTTAGGTGTTCTGAAATATATTATCTTGAAACAATATGCTATTGAATTCCATTAAAACAAATTTTACCTTTAAATATTTGTTGATTAGAAACTTGTATAAGAAATATTTGCATGTTTTCAATGGCTGTATGTGCTATAGAAAGGGAAATTTGAGAAAATATTAGAAATAAAGTAAATTACTGAACCACAAATCCATATATATTTAGAATGTGAGAAATGTTAGCAAAGAAAATATAATGTTATTTTTTATGTATTTGAAGCATGGTAAATCACTGGCTTGTGGATATATGTTCCTGTCTGAGGTTTTTTGGATATTATTTGTTTTGAGATAAAAAAGGTTAAAAGGAGCAGTATCTAAACTCTTACTCATGAGCCTGGAACACAAAATCTCTGGGGAATCAATCAAACACGTTTACTCTTAAGATATTATTAAGATAAGTATGTGTGAAAAAGCTTTTAATGAAGTTTACAATTTAGACCATAACTTGAGAATAATCAGCATCCAGATAACTTAAAGTAACAGAAAATGTTGCTATAACATTTTCTCTAGCTCCTTAATGGTTAAATATAGAGACTTGATTATATTAACTATTTTCAAAAGTTTCTTGAATCCTTGTTATTGGCAGGGTATAATGGAGTTTATTAAGTACCATTAAATTGCATGAGCATATTGGATTTATTCAGAGAAGATTATTATATTACTGTCTACTCTGTATACATGTCATTTTTATTTACGTATCGTACTAAATTAAATCACATTGAAGTGTTGGTTATGAATGCACTGGATCACAAGTGAAGGACTGCATGTCACAGAAAAATTGACACAACACTGTTTGGAGATTACTATTAAACTTCTAGGCTAGGATGATACATTATTTATTTTTGGGAAAACGAGCTATACATTTGAGAATCAAGAGAGTTGTTGTATCTAATTGAAACTCTACGCTTCAAAATTTGGAAACACCAGGAACTAATTGTTTTCCCTTATCTGATTTCTTTCTGCCTCTAGGCTGTTTTCCAAAGATTTTAAAATTTCCTAAGCTGGCAGAATGAAATAAATGCATAATAGGAAGTATAAGACTTATCCAAGAAAAGATTACTCTTATGTTACCTACAAGCAACATTTCAGTGTCTTAATTATTATGCTGGCCTTTAATTCATAAGACTAATAGATGAACTTGTAGATGAACAATATTATAGAAATTTCATTATACCATCACTTAACCACATGTGGCTTTATTAAAATAATACTAGATAATAATTGCATTTTATTTTCATCTTTGACATCATCGAGGAGAAATTGCAAAACTATTATAATTTTTAAATTTTGCTCACTGATTTTTATTTCAAAAATCAGATTCTTATGTTTCTTATTACCTATTTTAATATTTAGCCAATAGACCGTTTGGTATATAAACAAAATATGACTAAATATGAATATATTTTAAAACTCTAACAGTCAAAATGATCATGGTGACAAGGAGTGTCCACCTGAGTGATAAACCAAGTGAATAAATTATTAGCATGCCCATCTGATATTTTTACATTTATTTCCTTTGTTCACTTTATGTCTTCTTATCTCTCAAACTATTTTATTATTTAAAAAAAAATTATTTTAAGTTACTGGATAGATGTGCAGGATATACAGTTTTGTTACATAGAAACATGTGCCATGGTGGTTTGCTGCACCTATCAACCCGTCACCTATGTATTAAGCCCTGCATGCATTAGCTATTTATTCTGATCCTGTCCCTTTTCCCACCCCCCACTGGCAAACCCCAGTGTGTGTTGTTTCCCGCCCTGTGTGCATGTGTTAAGTAAGAACATGCAGTGTTTGGTTTTCTGTTCCTCTGTTTGCTAAGGATAATGGCTTCCAACTCCATCCACATTCCTGAAAAGGACATGATCTCATGCTTTTTATGGCTGCATAGTATTCCATGGTGTATATGTACCCCATTTTCTTTATTCAGTCTATCATTAATGGGCATTTCAGTTGATTCCATGTCTTTGCTATTGTGAATAGTGCTGCAATGAACATACGCATACATGTATCTGCATAATAGAATGATTTATATTCCTTTGGGTATATACCCAGTAATGGGATTGCTAGGTCAAATTGTATTTCTGGTTCTAGTTCTTTGAGGAATGGCCACACTGTCTTCAAAATGGTTGAACTAATTTACGTTCCCACCAACAGCATAAAAGCATTCCGATTTCTCCATATCCTTGCCAACATTTGTTGTTTCATAACTTTTTAGTAATCACCATTCTTACTGATATGAGATATATCTCATTGTGGTTTTGGTTTGCAGTTATTTAATGATCAGTTATGTTGAGCTTTTTGTCATATGTTTATTGGTGCATAAATTTCTTCTTTTGAGAAGCATCACTTCATGTCCTTTGTCCAATTTTTTTTTCCCCATTTATTTATTTTATTGCATTTTAGGTTTTGGGATACATGTGAAGAACATGCAAAATTGTTGCATAGGAACACACGTGGCAGTGTGATTTGCTGCCTTCCTCCCCATCACCTACATCTGGCATTTCTCCCCTTGCTATCTCTCCCCAGCTTCCCACCCCCCACCGTCCCTCCCCTATTTCCCCCCATTAAAAATTGGACATAATACACCATGGAATATTATGTCCAATTTTTAATGGGGCCGTTTGTTTTGTTTCTTGTAAATTTAAGGTCTGTGTAGATTCTGGATATCAGACCTTTGTCAGATGGATACATTGCAAAAATTTTCTCCCATTCTGTGTGTTGTCTGTTCACTCTGATGATAGTTTCTTTTGCTGTGCAGAAGCTCTTTCTTTTAATTAGATCCCATTTGTCAATTTTTTCTTTCGTTGCAATTGCTTTTGACGTTTTTGTCATGAAGTCATTGCCCATGCCTATGTCCTGAATAGTATTGCCGAGATTTTCTTCTACGGTTTTGTAGTTTTGGCTTTTACATTTAAGTCTTTAATCCATCTTAAGTTAATTTTTGTATAAAGGTGTAAGGAAGAGGTCCAGTTTGAATTTTCTGCATATGGCTAACCAGTTTTTCTGGAATCATTTATTAAACAGGAATCTTTTCCCCATTATTTGTTTTGGTCAGGTTTGGCAAAGACCAGATGGTCGTAGATATGCCATCTTATTTCTGAGATCTTTGTTCTGTTCCATTGGTCTGTGTGTCTGTTTTTGTACCAGCACCATGATGTTTTGGTTACTGTAGCCTGCCAGTATAGTTTGAAGTCAGGTAGCTTGACACCTCCAGCTTTGCTTTTTTGTTTGTTTGTTTTGTTTTTGCTTAGGATTGTTTTGGGTATATGGGCTATTTTTTGGTTCCATATGAAATTTAAAGTAGTTTTCTTCTAATTGTGTGAAGTATGTCAATGATAGTTTGAAAGGAATGCATTAAATCTATAAATTACTTTGGGCATTATGGCCATTTTCATAATATTGATTCTTCTTATCCATGAGCATGGAATCTTTTCACATGTGTTTAAATTCTTATTCTTATTGATTTTAGTAAATTAAAATAGGAATAGTGTTCTTTTTATAACATTAAAATATCCTTTGTTGAGAAGTAATTAACATATAGTAAGCTTCATCTTTTTAAAATTACAATTAAGTTGTTTTCAGTATGGGCATATGGTTCAGTGATCATTGCTATTGTCTAATTTATAATATTTTCGATACTCATTTGCTAATCCTATTAGCAGTCAGTCTCCCAAACCCTGGCTAATTTACTTTCTGTCTCAATGAATTTGCTTATTTTGGACATTTATGTATATGGAAACAGAATCTGTATTTTTTGTGGCTATCACTTAGCATATTATTTTTATGATTCATTCATATTGTAGCATGTAACAATGCCTCATTTCTTATAATAATAAAATTCAGTTGTATGGATATAACATTTTATGTATCATTTCTGACCTAATGAAAATTTGAATTATTTTCACTTTTTACTGTTATGAACAAAACTTTTAATTATGTTTATGTACAAATTTTTGTGTGGACATATGTCTTCTTATGTCTTGGCTATATGACAGTAGAAATTCATAATCACGTGGTAACTTTATATTTAACATTTGGATGAACTGCCAAACTGTTTTCCAAGTTGGCTGCCACATTTTAAAATCCCAACAGCAACATATAAAGATTTCAATTTCTCCACATAATAGCCAACATTTGTTGTCTGGTTTCTTTATTTTAGCCATTCTAGTGGGTGTGAAATAGTATCTCACTGTGATTTTGATTTGCATTACTTCAGTTCGTGATGTTGGGCATCTTTTGTATGCTTATTGGCCATTTGTATGTCATTTTTGAGGAAACATCTATTAAAATCTTTTGCCCATCTTTTTAAATTAGCTTGTCTTTTTCTTATTGACTGCTGGGTGTTCGTAGTATATTCTGAATACACATTCTTCACATATATGTAACTTAAATTTTTTTATCTCATTCTGAAGGTAGTCATTTTAGTTTCTTGATTTTGGCCTTAGAAGCAATTTTTAAAAATTTCAATAACATTCAGTTTATTTATTGTTTATCATGGATGCTTTTGGTGTCTTATCTAAGACATCAAATAATTCAAGATTATGAAGGCTTACTTTTATTGTGCTTTTTCATTTTTAGATTATTCATTGCTGCTGCATAGAGATAAAATTAATTTTTGTATATTCATCTTGTATCCTACAACATATCTGGGCTGGTTTATTAGTTCTAATAAGCTCTTCATTAATTTGTTAGGATTTTCTATATATACCATATGTCATCTCTCAATTAAGATAGTTTCAATAATTTCTTACATCCAAATGCCTTTTTTGCTCTTGCCCAAGTTTTCTGTTTAGAAACTCTTGTATGATGTTGGATAGAAGTGCCTAGGCCAGAGATCTCGTTTTTAGGTTTTTTTTTGTTGTTGTTCATGAAAGAAGAATTTAGTGTTTTACCACTAATCATGTTGTTAACTGAGTTTTTCATTCATTTTCATATATGAAATTTGAAAAAGTTCTTTTCTATTTCTAGCTTCTTGAGTACACTCAACATAAAAACATGCTGGAATTTATCAAATATATTTCAGAATTGATTGAGATGATGATGTGGTTTTCTTCCTTTCATCCATTAATATGGTATTACATGAATTGAATTTTGCATGTTAGAAAATTTTTACAACCCCAGGAGAAATCCCACTTATTCCTGATGTGTAACTGTTCTGTATGTGACTGTATTTTATTTGCTAATACTTTGATGACGATGTTAGCATCTCAATCTAATAAAGGTTACTGGTCTGTAGTTTTTTGTTCATGTAAAGTTGGTTTAGGTATCAGTGAAATATCATATAGAATCATTTTTGAAGGATTTATTCCTATTATATTCTTTGAAATATTCTAAGAAGAAACAATATCAATTTTTCATATACTGTTTCAAAGAATTTACCAGTGAATGTATCTTGGCTTGAGCTTTTCATGGGAGATTTACTATCATTATTATTATTTAATTCAGCTTCTTCACTTTTTTTGGTCTGTACAGATTTTCTAATTCTTCATTCAGTTTTGTGTCTTTTGAGGAATTTGTCCATTTTAGCTACGTGACCTAATTTTTTTGGTATACAGTTATTCGTAGTATTTCCCTTTTAACCCTTTGATCAATTTTATTTTTGTAAGATCTATTTCACGTCCCCTTCTTCACTTATTATTTTGGTAATTTGCGTGTTAGCTCTTTCTAGTCATTCTAGCCGAAGTCGATTTTATTAATGTTTTCAAAGAACCAATTTTTGGACTTGCTGTGGCTTTTCTATTTCTCTTTTATTTATTTCCTGTCTAGTTTTTGTTATTTTCTTTCTTCTGCTTGCTTTAGGGTTAGATTTATGATTTTTTGGCTTCTCAATGTGAATAGTTAGGTATTGATCCAAACATATTTTACTCTTTAGTATCGGCATTTACAGTTGCAGATTTCCCTGTAAACACTGTTATAGCTGTAAAAAATCAACTTTGGTTTGTTGTACTTTCATGTATATTAATCTCCAACTCCCTCCCATATAATCTCTTCCACCAACTGGTTATTTAGAACTGTTATTTAATTTCCACACATTTGTAAATTTCTCAATTTTTCTCTTATGAAATTTTAATTTTACTTTATTCTGCTTGAAGAATGTATTTTATATGACTCTAATGATTTTAAATTTATTGAGGCTCATTTTATGGCCTAACACATAGTGCATTCTGGAGAATCTTTTTGAACTTGAGGAGACTATATCTACTATTTCTGCATGGAGTGTTACATAGATTTCTGTTAAATCTAGTTTAAATGTAGTGTTCACATCTTCCATGTGTTCACCTTCTGTTTAATTCTTCTATCCATTATTGAAAGTGAAACCTGCAGTTATTTCTAATAACGTTTTCTATTTTTCCCTTCAATTCTGTCATTTTTTTTTGTCTAACATTAACATAATCATTCCAGCTCTCTTTTGGTTGTTTATTTTGGTCAGGATTCTCTAGAGAAGCAGAATCAATGGGATACAGATGATAGATATCTATAGATGTAGATGTAGATAGATTTTTTTACATAATTTCAAATTTTATTTTAGCTTCAAGGTGTACATGTGCACGTTTGTTCCATAGGTATATTTTGTGATGCTGAAAATTGCAGTATGATTGACCCTGTCACCGAGTTACTGAGCATAGTACCCAATAGTTTTTCAACCCATTGCTCCCTCTCTCCACCCTCCCTTCCCATATAGCCCAGTGTCTATATGGAAATTTTCTTATGCCTATGAGTACCTATTGTTTAGCTCCCACTTATAAGTTAAAACATGTAGTATTTCATTTTCTGTCCCTGCATTGTTTTGCTTGGGATAATGGCTTCCAGCTTCATGTATGTTGGTACAAAGGATATGATTTTTTTAAGGCTATGCAGTATTCCATGGTG